GGTTAAATAAAATAAAATATTATTATGATAAATTTTGCATAATAATCCCACCGCCATTACTTTTTTGGGGGACTGTATATAGATCATAATGATTGGGGAATTATTTGTTTAGGATTTGAGATAAATTTTTTATTGACATGTACTTTACGATCGTGAAAATTGGTTTCACAGTTATGAACCAATTTTCAAATTCTATTTCTTCGTTTTCTCATAAGCCATAACATTAAAGAATACAGTAATCATAACCCTTCGTAATTTTATAAACTATCTAATAAACCCCTTGTTATTCAACAATATATATATTAAGTGCATATGTGAGTGCGCTTGTTTAGATGATAAAATTATGGATTCATATCTGTTAGCAAATATACATATTTCACTCATTTTTTTAAAAGCAACATCAAATTGGTGTACTTTTCTCGCACTATTACTATTATGTAACACGGCGGCATTTGCATGACCCTAAACACAAGAGTCAGATACAAAATTTCGACACAACCTTTAATTAATTTTTTAATTTATTATTATTAATTAAAAAAAAAAAAAACAATTATACATTTACATAAAAACATAGCAAATATGACTAAAAAAAAAATTATAAGAACGAGGTAAAGATGTTGATTATGATAACGCCAAATGCAATAATGAAAATATTATAATTGATCGTTGTAACAGCAGAAGTTTGATAGGTAGGAACACCATTTGTAGAACTAGCAGTAGTAGTAGCAGTAGTGTTAGACACAACACTTTCGAGATAAGGAAGTTCGTTCGTACAATTAGCAATTGTTTTAATCTTAAATCCAGCACCAATAACGATATCAATGGCTTTGGGAGCCTTTCCAACAGTTTGTTGGTACAAATCATGTTCCAAAGAAACATGACCGGTTGTTGATGCTTCGTTTACCCATTGTGTGAAATTTGCTGGTATCCAATTTAAATCGTAAGTTGGATCTTGTTGAGACATCCAATCAAAGGTATCGTGATCCCATATGACAGACTTATAACCCAACTGTTTTGCTATATTCCTTACACGATCATCATAATCACCTCTTGGCGGTCTCATATATTTGGGAGTAAGTCCGGTTATTTCTTTGATGATTTTTTCGGTCCATTTTAATTCAGCTATGATTACTTCGTTTGTTTGGGTCGTTAATGATGTGTGTGACCAAGTGTGAATTCCGATTTGATGCCCTATTAATTATTTTTATTAATATTTATTAATATTTATTTTATTATATAAATGAATTATTTTTTTTTTGTACCTTCTTTAGATGCTCGCAATAAAACATCCGGATGATTTGTAGCTCTGGAACCAATAACAAAAAATGTTGCTTTCAAACCCTTCGACCCAAGATAGTCTAAAATTGTTGGTGTAAATGGTCTACAATAATAATAATAACAATAAATAAAATAAAATAAAATAAAATAAAATAATTTTTTTTATACTTGAAAAAATAAAAATAAACTTACGAAGGACCATCATCAATTATGTTGGAAAATCTGGCTCAAGATTTACTCGTGACGATGTTATTAAAATAATAATGAAGTTAATTGAAAAACAATTTTCGCCAACATGATTTTTCACTTAAGTGAAAAAAAAAATATTGCTTATTTTTAATAAATTTTCAAGGTCAAATTATAATAGTTTGTTGGAAAAAAATATTTCATATATATTTATATATGAGATTATTAATTATAATCTTATCAATTGTTTCATCACACTTAGTTGATAAGTGTTATATTATATCCCTTAATCATCTTTATAAAAAAAATATTTTTTGTAATTTCAATCTATCAATTCATATTTTTCTACTCTTTCGGCCAATACCTGTTGTATAAAAAAAATTTTATATAATATTAGTCTACAAACTTTCTATTATTATAAAAAATAATTGGTTATATAATTCAGGAATGCTTTTATTGCGTATATTATTATTTTCAAAGCATTCATAATAAGTTGTTTTTTGCATCATTTTTCAGACTGGTGCCAACATTTATTTCATCATTATCTTTATATAATCGTAAATTATTATTATCTTTTTACCTTAAACATATATGTATGCTAACGATAGTTGAAAAAAAAATTTTTGATAAAAAATTTTTTCATTTTTAATGTTACATAACGTATGAAAAAGGACAATGTTGATCAATTTAACTGATCCGATTTTTCGAATAAAATGAATTCTTTCTCAAACATACTGAAATTTACAACAATTAATAGATTTTCAAACATAAATTATATAAAGCAAACACAATCGACTAAACTTCTCACCAGTTATCAAACTTTAAATAATGATTTAGCGGTGAAGATACCTTATTATTATCACTTTCGAAACTTCACGAATTCTAAAGGTATTTAAATGTTTTATGTTTTTTATTAAATATTATTTATTTATTCATTTATTTATTTTAAATAATTTTCAAGTTTATCAACATAAAGAAAATGCTTCTTCTCCTAATAACCATAAGGATGGGTAAGTAATTCAATTGTTAAATAAAACATGCATCAATTTATTTCTAAATCATGAAATCAATTTATTTAAATAAGTGTAGCAATTAATTTTATTACACCTGAAGGAGAAAAAAAAACAATAATAGCTAATGAAGGTGAAAGTATAATGGATATATCACATGATCATGATAATGATATTGATCTGGAATGTATGTAATAATATGCAATTATTTTGACATTATGTTATTTTAAAAATGATTATATTAAATCATGATTATTTTATATTATTTTATTAAGGTGCATGTGAAGGATCTTTAGCATGTTCAACATGTCATGTTATTGTTGATCCTGAATATTATAATAAATTAGAGGAACCCACAGACGAAGAAAATGATATGTTAGATTTGGCATTTGGTTTAACAGAAACGTATGACTCAATTTATTTATTTATTTGAAATATATGATGTTAATTTAAAATTTATTAATTAATAAATTAGTTCAAGGCTAGGGTGTCAAATAGTTATGAAGAAAGAATTGGATGGAATAACCGTAACAATACCTTCAGCAACAAGAAATGTAAGATTAGAAGGTATTTAAAATATTTAAAATTTCTTCCTTTTCAATTTCAAAGAAGAAAAACAAATTATAATTAGAATAAATTTATTGCAATAGGATCAAAATTGTCATAAAAATGATTTTTTCCATTAATAGTAAATTAATAAATTTAAATATAATCAATACACATTGATCAAAAATTCAAACATAACTTTTAAGTCTTCGATTTCCGATTTAACAAGATGTTTCCTGGAATCATGACAATCCCAACAAATATTTTTGTTCCGTTAAATATTACATATTTTCAAAATTACAACAATGCAAGAATTCAAAATTTTAATATTAAATTTAAACTAAATATAGACATCTTACTTTTTTCTGTTTGTGATAAAATTACTTGTCTGTGCGTATAAAAGTGTGATTCGAGAAAGCTCTAATAGTTAAACGATATGTCGCAGGAAGTATAATAGTCAAACGTAAAACAATTGAATGTCTTCAACTCGCAATCGTCATCAAATCCCACACAGTAAGTTTAATAATGAAAAAGAAATCTTGGAGATAAAATTCTCGAGCTCAAGTTAGTTCTGCAGCTAGATATTAAATCTTTTCTGGAGCAAAAATAAGTATATATATAGTGCGCGCCATCTAATACTGTGCGTACTGCCAAATCTTCAAATCCCAAAATAGTAATGATACTCTTTGGTGTCACGGGATTATAACATCACATGACTCAATCATTTTGTATTCGTTATGAATTTGAGTATTCAAATAAATTTTTACTCGAATAAACGAATAAAACGAACAATTCGAACATGCTTTCATTAAACCATTCATCACCAGAATCGTCAGTCTCATAAACGAAATCATTATAATCAATTTCTTTTTCACTTGATGCATTTTTATTCATCTGACTTTGTTTTTTTAACATTTCTAGCATTACTTAAATGTGCAGCTTGTTTACTTCGTTTTGGCATTTTTTTAATTTGAAGAATGTAAAATTGTTAGTAATAGTAATGTATTATTTGTTGATTGTATACGAAAATATATATATATATATATTAATATATATTAATATAACAATGGTTTTCTGAACCGAATTTTATCTCTTAATGGTAAACACAAATTAAAGTTTTGATCCCGATCCTGCATTCTTATTTGTCAATTTAACAATCTGCAAAATAAAAATAGTCGATCGACCAACTTTTAAGGAAGATTTTACGAGAAACACATGGACAACAACCGGATTTTTATTTATAGATTGATCGTATAAGAAAGTGATGCCCTCAGAAAAACCTTTATATCAGAAAAATTTTATCGGCTATCAATAGCTGATTAACCGTTTAAGGGATAATTTGTTCTGGTCCAGTGCGTGTAACAAATCGAAAAAAATTATATTAATTAATATATTAATTAAGATTTATTACAAACATACTTTATTATATTAGAATAATTCTATTTTTATTGATAACCAAAAATTCCATTTTTGTTAACAATAAATCATTGATGGTTTCAGGTATAATTCTATTTTTATTAATAACCAAAAATAAACAAATATACTTTTATTTATTATACTAGAATAATTCCATTTTTTGTCATTGATGATTATTGATTAAAATACCATAAATACAAGATGTTTTTTAAAATTCAATATTTCAGTTCAATCAAATCAATAAAAAATCTAGATAAAAAAAACAATTTTTTATTGCTATTTATTCATTTAAAAATGCTTAATAGTATTTAATGATTTTACTAAATGGTCTAGATATTCAAGATTTTAAATTTTGAAAAAGAATATGAACATTGGACAAATAAAAAAGAATAAATAGTTTAAATTCACTAAAAAATTTTTTTGATCAACAAAATGTGTGCATTTTTTATATAACATACGCGCCCGCACTCAATTTCACACGAGTCTCAGTGATCCTTTCCCAAATAGGAAGGATCATATTGTCATATTTGATAGCAAAATCGTCCAACTTCAAACCACAAAGGCTTTTTTTTATTATTAAAAAAGCTCTCTATTTCATTGTTGCTTCGGTTCTGTTGTACGTGGAAATGAAATTATGTGAATTCGCAATTCACATATGTGAAAATCAAATTTACATATGTGAAAATCAAATTAGCCAATCAGAATTTCACCCCATTCCATAATATTTCAATTTCACATAATTTCAATTTCACATACAACAGTGACAAAACGTGAGTGTTGTTGTTCGGTTTGGTTTGGGTCTCCTAAAGAAGAAGTGTTAATAACTAACCAGAGGTACTATTTTTTACTTGTATTGATTGATATTTTTATTTTAGTTTATAAATATATATTATTGGAAATCAAAACGCGGAGCAGATCTTGCTGGGCAATTACAAGATTTTCATTGATAATATTTTGTTTTTCGTAATTGTAGTAATATTAATAATATTATTATATTATTACAATCACAAGATGTCAAGGGAGCACACCATTGAAAAAGAGACATTTTAAGTATGCAATGTTTGATTATCGGAAATTGGCAGACGTTGAAGCACGCACACGCGCTACCTTGAACACTTTAGAGTCATTCACTCGTTCCTCATGTACACAAGGCTAATCTGACCTGATTGATCGATGATACAATGATGCTGCAGAATTCCAGGGGTATTGCGTGGCTCTGGAGTTTACCGAGACTGCATCATCGTCAATGACGCTTTCACTAATCTCCCCAGACCAGAGATGGCTGCTGGCATGCTAGCCGAAAGTTGTCTGCAACGATCCTACCTCTAGGGCAAGGATGGCACTGTGACCAAGTCGCAACTCTGCTGATGAATTGTAGTGCCATG